ACCCGCTGGTCGCTTCCTGGCCGCCGGAGGAGCCGTTGTTAGGAAACCGAGCCGTTCAGATGTGATCCTGTAATTCCTGGTGATGTTTCAGTGTGTGTATAGGGAGGAGGGCTGAACTGTAAGCAGAAACACACACCCTGCTGTCTTATTTTTACCTCTGCTGTGGCTTCAGGTTCTGTTCTCCTCCTGCTGGAAGTCTGTTTCTGTCTGCTTCACTGTGACAAACTGTTTCTAATGAGGGAAGTTCATAGGATGTCTGCGGCTTCAACCCTCCATCACCATGAGATGTATTTATTTTCAGAAATGGGACCTGGCACTCTCCCTGCAACACGGGCTCCAGTAGATGGAAAACTGTAATTTTATTAGATTTTAATAAATGTTATGTGGTCATTTTTATTAAAATTGACTTTGCCCTGACAAACTCTCTGTGTGGAACTTCTTTTGAATGAAAATGTCTGATTGTAGAAATATATGGGATATGGATATTAATAAGGAAACTTTTCAGAGATCTGTTAGCTTTAATGATGAATGAGAATAGGGCTCCTCAGATTCTGCCAAAAAGTCCTAATAAAATCTTTTTTCCATTTTTATGGTCTGATTAGGGCTTCATGTAGTTCAAACCATCACTAGACTTTAGCAGGAAGAATTTAATTTCTCTGAAACTGTAGTTTGTTTTTTTATAAAATTAAAGTAACCAATTTTATGGATCTGACGGGATGTGATATAGAGAGGAAAAGCGTAGAAATTTGTTTTAACTCCAATGGTTTCAGAAATAACTACAGAGATATATTTCACGCTCTACCTTTTACATTCGGATATTTAGCTGATCCTTTCCGCTATTTAAGCCCATTTTCTTAGTTTTAACCTATTTGTTTTTGCAACACGCTTGTAAACATTTTACGTCAGTCGCAGCGTTTGGTGATAACCGACGGGAGCCAATCAGAGCTCAGTGTTGGCTCCTAAAAAGCTTCCGACAGTATATCGTTGACATTTCCCTGTGACCCTGTTTTTTTTCTTCAAAATAAAATGTCGAGAGCTTTACAAATTAAGTTACAAAAGCCGAGTTAAGCTTTGAATAAAGCTATAGAAACATAAGACCATTGACTCCGATTAATACTATGTTTATAGTTGTTTAAAATCTTATTTATTCCGTTAGATTACTGCAAAGAGAAAGCTGCTGCTTTTATTTTGAAGAGCTCATATCGGAACTGTTGGGTTAACCTCACCTCACTTTAAGCTAAACTTAGTTCGCTTCACGCTGCAAAACGAAACTTGCTGACCGAGTCCTCGTTTATAAAGCAGCCCGTTTTACTCGTAAAGCTTCATTATTTTGTTTGCAGGTTATCACTAATTTCGGCCACTTGAGTCCACCATGTCCGGCCACGGTCACGGCCACGGACACAGCCACAGCTGCGGGTCGGAGGGGCAGCATGAGCCAGCAGAGAGAGGCGTGGAGTTCGGGCTGTATCAACGCATCGACCTGGAGAGGCTCCAGTGCCTGAACGAGAGCAGGGACGGAGACGGACGGCTGGTGTTCAAGCCGTGGGACCAGCGGAACCTGCGAGACAAGGTACGGGGCAGAGTGGGCTTCCTCCCGGGGCAGTCAGGCTGTGACCCCGGGACAAAATATTTGACTAGTAGCACCTTTTACAGAATAAACTATGCATAACTAAGACCTGAGATAAGAGTTTAATAGAAATAAAATAATGTATTAATTTCTGGACAGGCGTGAATAGTTCCTAGTCTGGCCATTGCCTGCCTGCTCTATTCCGTTCACTTCAAATCTCATTTAAGTTTAATCTGGACTTTCTACCGTTCACTTCGATTCCTCTGGTAGTTTTTCTATCGGGCCAATCAGAGAACATCCTCCTCTTTGAGTGGAGGATGGCTGTTTACAATGCATGAAGTATACGGTAAGCTTCTGTGGTCTGAGTGTTGGGAGAGTGGGAGGTCTGATTGTATCTGGTTAAGGTGCCTCCATTGCGCCTCTGGGGGTTTTTGGTTGAGGAGACTCCATGGGAATACCCAGAAAAGGATTGAAGTCTGGGGATTTGAAAATGGGACTGTAAAAATCTTCACAGTGCAGATCCCAAACAAAGAAGCATTTGACCATGTTTTTGTTTTCCTTCAGTATGTGGAAAGTGATGTGGATGAAGAGCTACTGTTCAACATCCCGTAAGTCCTGCAGTCACAGTCATCATCATTATCCTGCTTTCTGTGTGCAGTTTATCCCTTTAGCATTTTTTGCTGTATTTAGTTGTAAATACTGTTCCTCAGCAAACTTGAAAAGGTTAAAGTTCTGGATATAAGCCCTTTGCATCATCCTGAAGTCCCGCTGGGTGTAATTTCATTCGGTGCTTCTCTTCTCGTCTGTCCGCGTCCTCGGACTGACGCCGTCTCATCTGTTTCAGTTTCACCGGCAGCGTGAAGCTGAAAGGCATCATCATCTCTGGAGAAAATGATGACTCTCATCCAGCAGAAATACGACTGTGAGTCTGTGTGTCTGTTGCTTCCCTCCGCCTCTAGGTGGCAGCATTGTGATTCTGAGTCTGATTGTTGTCTGCAGATACAAAAACATCCCTCAGATGTCGTTTGATGACACCGGCAGGGAACCGGACCAAGCCTTCAGACTCAACAGAGACCCGCTGGCTGAGCTGGAGTATCCCACAAAGTGAGTCACGCTTCAGTTTTCAGACACTTTGAGCAGAAACATTAGAAATCAGAGGAGCTGCAGCCTTAAACTATTTTAGCTCAATTTAAGTTTATCATTATCAGTTAGGTCCATGTTGCCTTTAAAACAATTAAATGTTTTAAGTTGTTTGTCTTTGTTTTGGATGAACATTTTGCTGTGAAATGTTCAGACAGGAGTTATTTTTCCTTTCTGGAAGCCATCATTTGACTTTTCCTTCTGTCGCTTGTCATTTGCAGGATTGCTCGTTTCTCCAGCGTCCATCACCTCTCCATCCACATCTCCAAAAACTTTGGGGACGAGAACACCCGGGTGTACTACATCGGCCTGAGAGGGGAATATTCAGAGGTTTGTCAGGCATAAATCTGTCTGTTCTCGTCTTCTGATCGGAGGAAGTTTAGATCATTCTGCTGAATCTGCAGATTTAATGCATGGTGCCCAAAAATGTCGAGCTTTAAGTATTCTGGGGCCACAGAATTCTTTGTATTTTTCTTCTTTATTGTAATTGGAAAAACTAAACTCAACATTTGAATTAAATAAGTGGATATTTTCTTTTTCTTTTTTTTCCTTTTCACCAACAAAAACAGGATGTGGCTCACTCATTTTTTATTTTACCATGCCCAGGTCTAAATTTTAGCAATAGTCACTGGATGTTTGTTGTCCTTTTTTACCATTAAAATAAATTAAATTTAGAACAAAAACCTTACATTTTCTGTGGTAAGATGTTAAATTGTCTGAATCTTTTTTTTGAAAGGTCTGGCATCAGTGAAATTTGCACCCTAACGTTTTCATATCTGTATCGGCATCCACCGCCTTCTTGAATTCTGGTCAAGGGCCGCCAGAAATCATTCCGAGGGCTGCAAACGGCCCCTGGACCACAATTTGGACCCCCCTGGTTTAACGTGTTTCTGCTCTGTTCTCTGTAAGGCTCACAGACATGAAGTGACCATCTGTAACTACGAGGCGGCAGCAAACCCAGCGGATCACAAAGTGGAGAGCATCATCCCACAGACCAACTTCATCTCCTGAGAACTGGAGGAAGAGAGAAAAAAGAGGAGGAGGAGAAAGAAGGTTTAGCGGCGTTTGCTGAAGGTCTAAATGTCAAACAGGAAGTCCAGCGCTGCGTTTGGGCAGTGAGGAGGGGTTCAAGTGGGAGCGAGCGCTGTAATCTTGGAAACTACTTCTATTGTTTCCATGGCAACATGCTCAACAGCATTGGCAAAGATGCATGAAAGGTTTTTTTTTTTTTTAAATCTTCTGTGATGAATTGTGCTGTTAAATAAAGCGGGGAAGCGAGGAGGACAGGGTCAGTTATTTGTTAGGTGAACATCTTGGTTGCCATGACGACGGCCTGGATTCATCATTCGCTGCAACACGGGAACGTTTTCAGGTTTAAATCATGAACAGCTTTGCTTGATTCAGTGTTTCCTTAACATGAAAGGCGATAAAGATCTGAAGCCTTTTTTCATCTTTTCTGATGCTTAAAAAATAAATAAGTTCCTACAGTAACGTTGACCTTTCTGTTTTTTTTTTTTTTTTTTTGCACCCAGAAGTGGCTGCTGCCACCTGCTGGACGTTTATACTGAGTTTATGTCTTCAGTAAATGTGAGTCAGGTCGGTGTAACTGGCAAAAATGTGAAGATCCACAATGTGAAGCTCTTATAGATCTACAAGCACTAGATCTACTGCAAAACTGGCATACGAAAATAAAATAATTCTGTTATATTTCAGTTCAAGAAATGTTTTATTTTAGACCACAAAAAATAAAATACAAAAGAACATTTCTTCCCTTTTTGTAGTCAAAAACAAGTGAACTAAAAATTTAGATTTTTTTTTCTCTTCGTTTGGGGACAAAGAGAAAAAAATAACTTCGCTCCGTGGCGTCACTGTTGAGAATCTCCCCCGTTAAAATATATCAAAAATACAGTTTGCTGGATTTGTATATTTTTTTCGTTGTTTCTGCTCATCTATGTTGTGAAAAAATACAATATTTTTTTTATTATGCAACAAAATTAAATATTTTAGTTGCTGTCAAATAAAAACACAAATTACCAAGATGTACACCGAGCCAGACAGTTTATTCTGGGTTATTTATTTATTTATTTATTTGATCGGTTTTGTGGTTAAAAAATTAAGAGAAAAAAATATTTATATATTTAGTTTTTCTTTATTGGTTTCTTATAAAGACAAATTACCAAAATATACACTGAACCGGACCGTTTCTGCTGGATTGTTTCAATTTATTTATTTAAATCGATTTTTAGTTTTTAAAAAGTAAAGCATTAAAACCCTAAAACGTGAAGTTGGGCTGTGGTTTGTGTGTGACGTCACTTGCTGGCCCCGCCTCCTCTTACAGTGCGCAGAGTACCGGAAGTTCCGCCCCGTCGTGAACTGGGACAGCAAGCGGTGAGTGTGTGAATCCGAGCGGGCTAGCGGGCCGCGGATGTGTTTTTAAACGCTTTATTCTGGTTCGAAACGAAGCTGACGAGATATTTCATTTAAGGGATATTCTGGGCTGCTGGTCAAAAAAGAGGTCAAAAATTAAATATGGTTCCGGTCCTGGACAAGGAGGGGGGGATGGAAGAAGGCACCGGCAGAGGACAATACACTCGATATTGTGTGTGTGTGTGGCGGATCTTCCTCCTGCTAACCCGGTTTAGCAATGTGTGTGTGCGGCAGATAAAGCGGGATTAAAGCCCGCAGTGGGGCTGGGAGTCGCTCCAAGTGGATTTTTGGGGCAGTTGGGGCTTTGTGTTCCACCTCCAACGAGAATTAAAGCCGAACTGCGGCCATTCATTGTTTCTACTCCCCATCGACCGCCGTTTCCTCCTTCGATGCTAACTCATTCAAATCAGATGAAAATCACTTTTAACTCGTTAATGGTGAGGCCAGGGGCCCCAGCAGCTGCTGGAGGAGCCGCAGGGGCCCCCCGACCCGTAGCAGCAGCTGGATGGGGGAAACCTGTCGCTATGTGCCGCATATCGATGATCCTGCTGCTGATCTGGGATCAGTGTTTGACTGCAGCACCTCTGCTGTGTTTTTCTGTTCAGTGTAATTGAAGTCACGCAGGACGGAAAGACCTCGTGGTTTTCTGATCTGCGTTTATTGGATTAAATCAGACCAGTGAAAATAATTAACACATTTAGAAGATAAAGTAAAACCAATAAAAACAATATGGAATGAGCGTCTTCTGCGTAATACTACATCATTTCCTGTTGTGTTTTAGATTCAGTTCTCCAGAATGGATTTCTTCTTAATTTGGCTCATTTTCCTCCATTTAGATGAATATTTTCCGTATTTTTGCACTTTTACTTAAGTAAACTACTACTACACTACCAGCTTCCTGGTGCCTGTTGGAAATGGTCTCTGGTCGATAAGCGGCTGACTGAAGGCTTCTTTCTCTCTTGTTAACCCAGAAATAAACACAACAGTCTGTTGTTATCTGGTTGTTCTGCATGATGCTATAGTTTCACTCAGTATTACTGTTCAGTCTGGAAAACTGTGAATTTTTTATATTAACTATTTTTATATGATAACAGAAAATAAGAGTGGAAATTATTTGTGTTTTCAAACTTTAATACTGTTCCATTAACTAAATATTATGAATATTCATTTTCTTCCATTACTTAATTATTAATGGAAGAATATCCATTTTCTTCCATGAATTATCTTCTTTCACCCTTTCTTTCACTCTTTCTTCCTGTCTTTTTTTGTTGCTTTTTCTTTCTTTCATTCTTTCTTTCACTCTTTCCATCTGTCTTTTGCTCTGTGCTTTTGCTCTCTTTTTCCTTTTCCTTCCTTCTCTTTAGTTCTTTCTACCATCTTGTCTCATTTGTTTTTCTGCCTCCTTTTCTTGTCTTCTTTCCTTACTTTCTTTTTTGCATTCTTTGCTTATTTCCTTCCTCCCTTCCAGTTTTTGCTATTTTTGCCAAATAAGTCATTGTTATTTAAAACTTGGTTCTTGTAGAAATATCTGCAGTAAATTTATAGTGAAGTTTAGTAATTTATATTTAAAATGATGAATATGAAAGACTGAGTAATATGAGTCTGGAAAAATCTGGAACTTTGGAGGGAGAAATTGCGTAGAAAAACCGTTTAGACTCAGATGAAAACATGAAAAACATCTGTCTAGTTTATGAATCAATCCACGTATTATTTGTAGTTATCTCTGGGATTCATATGAAATATAGATATTTAAAACAGATTTTCCTTCCAATGAGAGGATGATAAAAACATGTCAGCTGAAATATGAAGCACTTTGTGGAGCAAACAGAAAGTCCATCAGATCCGGTCGTTTTGAGAGTCTGAATCCCAGCAGATGCTGAAGCTATTTTTACCCAGCATCCTCCTCCAGAAGCTCAGAGCGATCCGATGTTTCTTAGAGAAATCCCACACAGCGACGACATACGCTATGAATCTGTTGACCAGCGCGGCTCACGCTAACAACCTCAGACTTTCAGAGCCATTTTATTCTTCCTCTGTCACTCACTTCTACCTGTTTTTATTCAGTCTGAGTCTCAGACCAGAACGCTGCCTCTTTAAGAGGCAGAGCCGAACTTTCTGCTGTTTAAATCAGACTGGATTTGTTCACCGAAGCTTAAATTTTTAATAAATTGTCCCAGAAGTTATTGCAATAAATGATGATGTTGTTTTGAGTAATATAATGGAAATGGCATAGAAATGCAAGAACTTATTCTCAAAGATCAATAAATGTTAAATTATAATGAATATTTAACACTAGAACTGGAAGACATTTTAAATATCCAAAATAAATAAAAAACAAATAAAATGAATTATGAAGTCTTTGTAAACAAAGTTGTCCTTAAAAAAGGTTAGTTGAGACCAAAACACCAGACTGAAGACTTTATCTAGTTAAAAAATATAAATCTTGAAAATGGATATTATTGAGCTCGTTTTAACCGATTTATTGCTTATTGCAACAGACTTGTTGAATAGTTTTTTTAGGGTGCTGATGTAGTAAAGAATAGATTGCTTTTGTTTGACAGAAAGTAAGCTGACAGGTGATAAAAGGATTATATGTTTAGTATCTTCTTTGTGTTTAGTATTTTTGCTGCGGCTGAAAAGATTCAAATAGATGGATGTTGTTCTTGTCAGCTAAAGTTGCTTGAGGTGTTCTCTCTACTCACCCTGTATTAAATATTGAGAAAGACATTTTATCCCCAGATCAAGTGATTTGAAGCTAACTGAGAATCTGAGCCATTTGATATTTATGTCCCAACTCTTCCTCTTTCTTTCTCCTTTTATTGCTCATCTATTACTCATTTATCTAGTCACATGTTTCCAATTCTGCTTCAGAGCAGCCATGGAATTCAACAGCGAAAGGTTGAACATTAAGCTTGGCGTTTGGGACATTCTTTTGTCTCCTCGTTGTCTGTTTACTGATGAGGCAGCGCGCCGTCCGACCTTCCTGTTTTCCTTCCTTCCTGTCCTCATGTCGTCCTAGAGCTTTTACCGTAAAACATCCTGATCGCTCAGACTTCCAAGCACTTCCTAACTACTGAAACCTCCTTGTTTTGTCACGTTTCAAATGCAAAAATAAACATAAATCAAATTATAATGTATTAAGTAAAAGATTTTTTTATATTCAGTCCCTTTTACATGATTCCTTCTAAATAAATTCAAGCTAAATAAGAAATGCAGTCCTGTAATTTGAACTTTTGTATTAATAAAGCTCTTCTGGGAAGATCTAAGACGTTAGCTGTTTGATACATGGTGGTGGTATCATCATGCTGTGGAGATAGATTGGAGCCTATGTGCAAATTTATCCCCAGTTAGCTGGACAAAGTTCGTACATTTCTGTCATGATACAAGCCTTAAATTACATTTAGTCATTAAAATTACATTTAGTCTTTAAAAGTCTTATGACCAATCGCCTCCAGAGACACATACGGTACAAGATGGAAAGAAACATTGATTATTAATATTGGCCCAGTTTCACTTATTAGAAAATGTCAAATAGCGATTGATGCTAATGCCGATATATCCTGACGATTCCTGATGTTTCACGTAAATCCAGTGTTTGATCCGCAGGCTGCTGATCTTTGTGTCATCTCCTGATTACAGCACCCCCTACAGTGTATGTGTGGCAACAACATGTCTGTGCCGCTGCTCGCCGAGGCTGTGACGGTGTCCGGGACACAGAAGGAGACTGCGGCGGTGAGTCGATCCTAATGTTCCTGAACTCTGCTTGACTCAGCATTTTTCTGCTGGACTGGCAAGTACAGATACCAAGGAGCAGCTAGAAGCTCCGATAAATCAAATATTGACATATTTTCTCCATTGTTATTACTGAATTGGGCATCACGTGACTGTCGTTCGCCACGCATGCGCCTTGGTATGCGATGGGTCGGAAAAATGATAAAATCACGTAAATAATCTGAGAAAGAGACGCCATGTTTTACTATTAATTGTCAGCACTACAACAGTTGGATAACAAGGTCCAAGAGTGTCGCATTTCACTGGTCAGTAAAAAGTTTTAATTAAAAATGTGGACAAAGTGGAAAGTAGGTCAGTCATGCTAGCTTAACTTTGACAGCCGTAACATAAACATGCTCTGCGGAATTCGGTGTGTTTCGGTTAGGCGACCCACACATCTACTCTCTTCTGACAGATAAAAAGTAGATCAGGTGTTTAAACTAGTTGATTAACCACTGCTCATGTTCATTCAAACACTTATCAATAATCGCAACATAATCACCAAGCTTCAAAACTTAACAGAGTAACGGACTAGCTGTTCCGTTTTGCGGTGTTTATGTTCATTTTTTGTGTTATCTCTGCTCGGTCGGCTGGCGGTGCTGTTGTCATTCAGTTGCCACGACGCGTTGTCGTGGCAACTGTCGTGTAGTAAAGCCGACGCAGAGAGCGAGAGAAAAGGACTGATTCTGAATTGTTTGTACCTATTTTTTTATGTTATTTTCCCTTTGTTGTGGTATAATTTCTATAAGTTTAATAAGCGACAAAAACTGGACTACTCGTGATTCATGATTGTTATAAATATGGCGATATTGATGAACATGACTCAATGCATAGTAATGGCACCTGTGGCTAGAAGGCGATGTCCAATCCAGTGCTGATGGTATTATCTGCTGGGAAGCTTAAAAGGTTACAGTTTGGGATTCAGGATGTTTTTCTGTCTGTGCTGCAGGTGATCTTCCTTCATGGATTAGGAGACACAGGGTGAGCACTTCACATGTTTTTATTCTCTAGTGAATTTCCTTCCAACCAGATCATTTTAAGTCCCTTCAGGTACAGAAAGGCTGTGAAACCACTCAGGGTGGCAGCACCTTGGAGTAACGCTGTTACAAATTCAAAAATAAAATATTTTTGAATTTGAATATATCTCTTTAATTGTTGATTTAAACATTTAAAGACAGACTCACTCACCAGGTCATATCTGCTTCATTAATGTTAATGCGCTATTAACGACAGCCCACCCTCCACTCCTGAAGCTTTGGAACTCTGTTGCAATAATGATCGACTTTTCAGAGAAAAATCGATATCGGCCAAATCAGAACCAGCAAGTCGGCCTGAAAATTGCAATCAGTTCTTCCCTATTTTCTGTATTAATATAATTATTGGGATCTTGTACACCATATTTAGAGCATTTTTAAAATAATTGTAGTAAAAAAAACAAGGTCTTTAACCAAAAATTGCAAAATTTCCGATTAGTTTTTATTGTGACTGTTTAATACTTCTTTTTTATTATTAAAATCAGCTGGAATTTATGAATAGGAAGAAAAGCAAATTTATTTATTTGGTTTAATTCATGGAAACAAACACACAGACATCCCATGCCTGCGTCATGGTACTTATTATATCATTTGCAGCACTTGTCCTTAATGAGTTTTACTAAAAACTTTCTAAAAACTATTAAGAAGTGGAATTGTAATAATGTAAAACAATAAAACATGATTTTGACAACATATGCAAAATCATACTGCAAAGAAATTAAAAAGATGACAATAAAAAAGAAACATTAATTAAATATTATCTAAGGTCCTTTGAGGATTATTTTCATCTCCTGACTGTGGCTTTGAGTTGATTTGTCTAAAATGTATTCAGTGTTTTCCTCAGTCAGAACTCTGTACAAATTTACAAAAGTGTAAAAATCCTTTTTCTTTTTTTATGAGCCAGATTTGTTTGTTGTTGGATTTATTTTTTATCTGCTTCCTGTTTTCCATCAGGCACGGCTGGGCCGACTCTCTGACGGGGATCCGGCTGCCTCACGTCAAGTTTATCTGCCCTCACGCGTAAGCCTGCTGCCGTTTATCTCACCTGAACTGCTGTTCTGCCGCCCTGACGCCTTTTTCCCCCACAGGCCTAAAATCCCCGTCACTCTCAACATGAGGGCCCTGATGCCCGCGTGGTGAGTAGCTCTGATGAACGCCACCGCCTCTCAGCTCAAAACTGGCTGCCTTTGTTTCCCTGGAATCCACAATAGGCTCCCATGTTGCCCTTGACAATAGTGCGATTGTGAGTATTGATCTGTTGTTGTTTTTCTTGACTCCGGTTTTGTGTGCGCAGGTTCGACCTCATGGGTCTGAGCCCCGACTCTCCAGAGGATGAAGCCGGAATCAAAAAGGCTGCAGAAAACAGTGAGTTTGAACGCAGCGTGGCGTTTGAAACAAAACAGCCACATTCACCTCTAAAACGCTTCTGATTGGTCCAGTTCAGCAGTTTAATAAGGGGAACTGTCAGCAGTGGAAAGAGGATTACCTCACCACAACACTGCAGCAATAATAATAATAATACTACTAATAATAAAGTGTTGGGCTGAATTATCACAGAGTCCAGGGTGGTGTTGATGGATACAGTTTGTTGTGCAGAACTTGATGAAATGAGCAGCTTTGCTTACGATAGTAAATGACAGATGGTGTTTTAGAAATGGGTCAGAAACCTTGTTTATTGATTTAAACAAATTTAAATCAATAACTTTATCACTTTATCCTTGAGTCAATATTATGTGTTTCCCAGGCACATAGTGCCTTTTCATACCACAATTAAGAAATTATGTTACCTTCAGTTTTTATATATGTATATGTCAGATATGACTTAAAAGAAATTTGACTTCCTGATTTAACTTCTTGAAATTGGGCCTCTGTCTCTCTAAAAACTCTGCCTCAGGAAGTCATACCAACATGGCTCCTCTGATTTCTCACTGAGAAGTAGCTCCTATCATGAGCTCAGCAGTTCCACCAGGTGTTTGCTAATTGCTGCTGGCTAGTCTGAAGGAGTTATGGTTAATATTATGACTTTATTCTTGTACAGCTTTATTCTCATATGATTTTTTCTTGTATTATTACAACTTTATTCTGGTATTATTTTGACTAGTTCAAACTTGACTCCTTCATTTCTTCCGTCACTGAATGGTTTCGTTTCTGTCTCCAGTTAAGGCCATAATCGAACACGAGGCCAGAAATGGGATTCCTCCTCACCGTATAATCATCGGTGGATTCTCTCAGGTCAGATAGCGGCTCACATTGATTCTGTTTGTTCTTAAACCAGACCTGGTCGTAGTAAACGTTTTGTTGTCGTTCCTCCTCCCCACCTAAGGGTGGCGCTTTGTCCTTATACACCGCTCTGACCTGCCAGCACCAGCTGGCCGGCGTGGTGGCCCTCAGTTGCTGGCTCCCTCTTCACAGGAGTTTCCCTTCGGTACGTCGTGGCTCCAGCTGGAGCCGCCCCGTCACGCTCTGCGCCGGTTCTGTTGTTCAGGTACAACCACTGTGGGTCTTCTGTTCCCACAGGCGTCAAGCGGCAACAAGAACATCCCAATCCTGCAGTGCCACGGAGAGATGGACATGATGGTGCCTGCGCAGTTCGGCGCCATGACGGCAGAGAAGCTCAAATACATAGTTAACCCTCAGATGGTCACCTTTAAAACCTACCCAGGCGTTCAGCACTCCTCCTGTCCTGAGGTACGTCTGCATCTTACTCCAGTCTGGGGACGCACCGATTTACCTCAGATACCGATATCTAAGATTTAATATCGGCTGATCCGATACAGAAGATCACATGTCTGTGTTTATTTTAAACACACACATAAATGTACTAAATTACAAATTAATTTGAGAAATCTGCAGTAGTACAGCAGTGAAATACACCAACAGCTTCACAAGCTTGGTCAAACATGGAAAAACAACTTTAAATTGTTCAGTCAGTTAAATTAGGAGAAAACAGTCAATGCAAAATAAATAAGTTGACAAAAACATTAGATTGACTAGCTTAGTCAAATGTGAAAATAAACAACAAACCTTTTCTCAAATAGTTCAGAAAGTTCAATCAGGAATTCTAAATATAATGTAAAATAAAAAATAAAGCAGAAATTATAGAAATAGACTAAATAGATCTTCCCTTATGGCTCAAAGTCATTGTCACCGATACCTAATCTAGAATTTTCTTCAATATCGGGACCGATACAGATATTGATATCAGATAGGTGCATCTCTATTCCGGTCGCCATCATCAGGAAGGCGACTCTTTGGTGTGATTATGAAACATAAAGCTGTATGTTAGTCAGATATTTTGAGCTTTCAGTTCTTGTTCTTATAAATCTTTGTAGACGTTTTGTGATCGTTCCACCCTGGAAAAGCGGAGAACAAAAAGAATCTGTCGTTCCTCCTGGTGATGATTGGATGGAAACGAACGTTAGAAGCTTTTATTTCTCTGAGATTATTATTTATTAACTGATTATTAATCTGCTCTGATCTCTTTTAGGAAATGTTGGCTGTAAGGGAATTTATTGAGAAGTATTTGCCCCGGATTTGACCTTGCCTCATTCCGACTGTGACGCCCTCCGAGACACTGACCTCTGACCCCTGATCTGCTCTCCTGCAGGAAACAGCCATGAGAACCCCCCACCTCCTCACACACACACACACACACACACACACACACACACACACACACACACACATACGTACACACACATTTAACAGGTAATTTAATCCGCGGAGCTGAACAGCGCTCTTCATACAGTCCAACTTGTCGAGTCTCGGCGTTCGGAGGGAGAAACTCTCGCTGCACATTCCCCCTTTTTTAATTTAAATCCTCCATCTGTTGACTCTCTTCTTTTCCTTTTTTTTTTTACCTCATCTTGTTTCCTTTTATCAGCTTGTATCACTCATCGCCTCACTGCCACACTTCCTTTTGAGTTACTGGAAAACCAGCGATGAGTCTGAGTCGCATCATCCAACCTGCTGGGGGCGCTGTCAGACTGGTCGGATGTTTACAAACAGCTTTTGCTTCTCCACCTTTCGATCATTAGCTGCAGGTTTTATAGGAAGTGAAAGGACGTAAAATCTGTTTTAACTCTTTTGAGACATTCTGACAGCCTTTATAAACGACTAAAGCTGTTTGCATTAAAGAAAACAACACATTTTTATTTAAAGGATGTAAAATCAGATCAAAATCTGATGAAAACCATTTCAGGTATGAAATATGCAGCAATGTTGGTCACATTCCCACATCAAAATCTGCAGTATTCGTTCGTAGCTCCTAAATTTGTCCAATTTGAACACCTGCAAAGTTGTAGCATAGCAACAGTAAGCAGCGTACTGATGACCCTGACTGTCCGCTTTGAGTCTGAGCAGAAACAGCAGCTTAGAAAGAAAAACTTAAACTCCTTTTTAATTTATTTTGATTTTAATAACAAGAAACGCTGCGGGTTTCCTAAAAGGATTCCTAGTGGGATCCCTCTGGGGATCACAGATCAGTGAATGTGAGATCTTGGCTTCCTTTTGAGAAATAACAAGAAATAGTGATGAAGAAAGGAAAATAAATTAAAAATACTGGAAAGGAATAGATAAAATAACATATTAATTCTTGTTTTTGGCACCAAACAGAACTGTCTGTTTGACCTGCCCGACAGATTATTTTGATTTTTTCATTCTGCTCATAAATAACTGCAGGAAAATGAGATTAACTGACTAATAAAGACTATATACCAGAGGTTTGATCAGCGGTCACGATCTGTCCTGTGTAATAACAGTCAGCCGACCCAAATGGGCATTACGATCAAAACAAAACCAAATTTGAGCGATCTTCTGACCTTTAATATCATTTCTGAAAATACTTCTCTACAAAACAAAAGCATAAATCATAGTTTAAGTAGATTATTTTGAAGTGGTTTGTTTACAGGTTTGAAAGGATCAAAATGTTGATGTATTGGTGTGGATTAATCTGTTTGCGTATGATTTGACCTCTGACCTGTTAGCTTAGCGGCTAACCTGGCGTGAATCCTCTCGTCCTGCGCTGTTCCCGTTAATCATGTCTGCAAAGGCCTTTTATAACGAAGCTCTGTGTCTCCGACTCGGTTACTGGGAGAGCTGGTTTTCCACCACTGCATCCATTCCACATTCTGCAGCCTGTCCGGGTCTTTAACACACACACACACAGAGAATCCCAGGAACTGATGCTTTTCCTATTTTTAAATGTGAGAAAATGAAGTGACTTGTGTAAAACGTAATCCAAGTGAAATAAAGCAAATGGATGACTGTTCCTGCCAGCCTGTTTCTTTCAGAGCTGTAAAACCTTCATGTTGATTCTGTGTCAGACTTTGATTTTTCCGAAAATCACAGGAGAACGGGAACATGAGACCCGCACAGACTGCACATCACCAGTCGTTTCACTGCGCCTCCCACCATTCCCACTTATGTTGGAGCAGATGATTTCCTCCCTCTTCATATCCATGATACCAAGGAGTTCCAGAGCTCCAGACCTTTTAATCCCAGAGAAAATCCAGAAATTCTCATTTTTCCTAATGCTGTAACCTGCTAACAGAGCGACAGATTAAAGATCTCAAGTTAAACTCCAATTAAGGTTTTTAGAATTGGCCTGAAACGCATTAATCTCTGTGGAGAGGAACAGTTTAGGTTTTATTTTTTTCTGTTCGGGCGACGTCTTCTGATCTCACAGACGTCAGTTTTGATTGTTCACAAGTCAATGAATGTTTCTCGTCTCCTTTAGTGTTTCCATATTTCCGTCTCAGTCTTTGATCCCAGCCGTTTTTTGGATTTCTTTGTTTGGAATCTGTTCCTGTATTTTTTATGTCGTTTCTTTTTCCCCGTTTGATTGTTTTGTTAAAGTTGTGGATCTTTTTCATCGTCATCTCATCCTCTTTTTGTCTGATGATGATGAGCATTAAGAAGACATGTTGAGGTGAGACTGATGGTCTCTCTGCTCATTTTGTTCCCTAAACAGCTTTCTGCGGAATAAACGATCCAAAAAAAATTAAATAACAGAGAATGTCTGAGTTTTTGTTTGATTTAAAATAGTTTATTCAAAAAGAAAAGTAAATAATGAAAGCTTTTCCACTCTTCCTCGAACAGTCTGGTTTTAATTAAGCTTATAGTTCCAGGTTGTATTTTGGCCCATTTTCCAGCAAATACATCCAAATGGATCATTTTTATCTATATTGGAGGAAATCTTTGAATCTGCTGGATGTGTAGCTGGAAGCTAGGAAGGACAACCAGAATAAAGCTTTATTCAGATTTATCGGTTATCAATATCTACCCATTATTTTCATATCGGTGCTTCCCTAATGAAAATGGTTTGCCAATGCAGTTCTACAGCGCCTCCAACAGGTGGCGTCTTTTGGCCTAGTTGGATATATCCAATATATCTGGATATTTAATAATATCCAGATATATTTAACACTTTTGTATATTACAGACACTCAACGTCTAAGATAAATGGCAACAAAATATATATTTTCAAAACGATATCTTTCAGGTCTTTTGTGTTTTCTGTAGATGCTTTAACAGAAAAACAATGAAGTTTGTAAACTCTTGTAAAACAGCCATTTTAAGATATGTGATTTTAGTGTTGCATATGGAGAAAATGTATGCTTTACATTCACATTAACACAGGTAAATTAAAAACGAAGTTATCAAAATGCATAGCCGAATATCACTACATATTTACCAATCCTCAGTCAGTTGTGTCAGATGGGCCAAAATCGTGAAGCAATTTTTTTTTTACCCACTCAACAATGAAAATGACAATAGTGCTCCAACAACTCAAAAGACATGGTGTAATACAAATTATCTATAGCATTGATATTTTCTAAAGTAAAATATATTTTCCAACAAAAATTTATAAAAGGTACAATTTTCTGCTTTGGAATGGGAAATAAACAGATATCTGCAATGTTACTTACATATAAGTGTACACAAAAGCAAATATTTTGTTTTAATAAATTACTACAAAAATTGTGATTTACATTTCATATGTTTAAAAAGAAAATTTAGAAAAATAATTTAATAAATGCACGAAAAAGTGTATTTTCTCCTATTATCAAACAAATGTACAACAAAAGCAGAGAATAAGAATCAGCTATTTTCTACACATTAAAATTACCCCGAATAACAATAATAACTGTTGCAGATAACAGTATCTGCAACGTAGCAACTGACGGCTGATATTTGACACTTTTTTTTTTTAGATAAAATAATTTAAATTCAACCGGAACAAATGTGAAGAAAGCAGACTCTTGAAAATCTGGGGATTCGTTTCTCTGCTGCTCGAACTACATCAAAAACGTAGCGACGGACCAATCAGAGGCACTGGGTGAAGATGGGCGGAGTCATCATTTTCTTCTGAGAAAGAAAGACTCATTTCTGCTCGACCGTTGGTCGCCATTTTGAGGACCTTTAAGGAGCTGTTAAAGTTGTAACTACGCAGTTAATTATTTGCGTTTTTTTTAAATAGTACTTTCGCTCGCATAAGGATAAATGTCTCGATTCAACAATAACCGTGGTGGGTACGGGATGAATCAATTTCAGCCACGCAGAGGCGGAGGTCCCGGTGGCCCTATGCGTGGCGGCCTAATGGGAAACCCGCATTACCGAAACCACCCTTTCCAAAACTCCAACCAGAACCGGAGGGGAGGCAACAACAACTTCAGCGGATCGAATAGCCAGAATTCCCAACAGAAGTCTGCGCAAAACCAGTCGAAGCCAATTATTCCTCCACCGAGCCCCGGACCGGCCCTCACCATGAAAGGCCCGATGGACCAACAGAAACCACCGGCCCAGCAAGAGCAGCAGAAACAGAACCCTCCTGTGGACCAGTCGAAGACCCAGACTTCAACTCCAAAACCGGACACGACCCCCGCTCAGGCCAACCAGAACCAGCAGATCAAGACTCCGGCTGGTAATGCCAACGCACAGCCGCAGAAGCAGCAGCAGCAGCAGACTCCACAGCAAAACCCGAAGCCGAGTCCACAACAAGGCCAGAAACCCGCACCGCAACAGAGCCCCAAGACGGTTCCGCAGCAGAGCCCGAAACCCGGTCCACAGCAGAGCCCGAAACCCGGTCCACAGCAGAGCCCGAAACCCGGTCCACAGCAGAACCCGCGACCCGGTCCACAGCAGAACCAGAGGCCTGGACCCCAACAGAACCAGAGGCCTGGACCCCAGCAGAACCAGCGACCTGGTCCCCAACAGAACCAACGGCCCGGTCCGCAACAGGCGTCTAGACCAGGCCAACAGCAGGGCCAAAGGTCTGGTCCCCAACAGGGCAACAAGACCGGTCCAGTCCAGGGTTCGGGCCCTAAGCCGCCCCAAAGGGCGGAACCGATGGGCGAACAGAGACCGAAAGAGGATCCCAACAAGAGCCAACCAGATGAAGCAGGGGTGAGTCTAAAACCTGTCAGATTAACAAGACTTAGCAGCAGCTAATGGCGACAGACACGGTGAAGAAAAGCTAGCTGACGTTAGCCCGCAGCCATCTTGTTTAACAGTGATTCACTTTGAGAGGTTATTTTTATTTCATTAAACAGAAATCAAGGCGCTGAAAATTTAGTATCCGTGTTTTTTAGTTGCAAATGGGTTTCTCAAGAGGTACTAACTTGTTTCATGTTAAATAATTACTTGACTTAAATCAATATTAGAACTAAAAGAAAATAAAGCAACGATGAAATGCACCTACATCTGGGCTGGATGGGCTCAACCTTAGTAGAGAATAGAGAATAAATAACCTTCCTCAGTTGAGAAATTCAGGTTTATCAGCAGCAAGGTGTCAGAAAAGAAAGCCAAATCATGTCAGTTAACACAAAAACTTAAACATAAAAATAAAATACAAACACTGTACAGTGAGACAGAATTTAGAGCATAATAAAATACTGTGTTATTAAAAATGACATGGTCCGATTCTAAGAAACGTGCAAAAAAAAGAAAAACAAATGACAAAAGTCTTCAGTCTGATGCTTTGGTCTCAATTAGCTCTTTTTAAGGATATTTTTGTTTAGAGACTTCATAATTCATTTTATTTGTTGTTTGATTTGTTTTGGGTATTTAAAATGTCTTCCAGTTCCAGTGTTAAATGTTCACTAGAGTTTAAAGTTTATTAATCTTTGAGAATGTGTTTTTGCTTTATTATGCCATTACAATCATATTATTTTAAAATGGTTTCAAAACAACAATATTACTGTTTATTACAATAACTTCTGGGACCATTTATTGTCCAGAATGAATACATATTGTCCAAATGTTTTGTGTCAAGCCTGGGCATAAAAAAAGCTGATATAATTTGAATGGAGTTTGTCCCTGAATTAATTGACTGTTTTATCGTTGACAGACGTTCAAGGCTGCCTTGTCCATGTTGCTGAAGCCTGGAGAGAAGTCCTACACACAGAGATGCCGTCTGTTTGTTGGTAACCTGCCAAATGACATCACAGAAGATGATTTCAGGAAACTTTTTTCAAAGTATGGAGAACCTTCTGAAGTCTTCGTCAACAAAGGAAAAGGCTTCGGCTTCATCAGACTGGTAAGAGGCGATGCTCTGAACTGTGACACCAGCTGAGCACGAGAAACTTCTCCAGCTGAATCTGTTTCCTGTTTGTGTTGTAGGAGTCGCGCGCGCTGGCAGAAATCGCTAAAGCTGAGATGGACGACTATCCGATGAAGGGCAGACCACTTCGTGTTCGTTTTGCTACACACTCCGCTGCGCTGTCTGTGAAGAATCTGTCTCCATTTGTTTCCAACGAGCTCCTGGACGAAGCCTTCTCGCAGTTCGGGATGGTCGAGAGGGCTGTCGTTGTCGTTGACGATCGCGGACGCTCTGCAGGGCGCGGCATCGTGGAGTTTGCTTCCAGAGCCGCTGCCAAAAAGGCTCTGGACCGATGCAACGAGGGCGTTTTCCTTCTCACCGCGTAAGCTTGTTTTTTAGCTATGCACACAAAACTGAGACCTGATGGCAAAAGTTCCTGAATGATTTCTCTGACTTATTCATCTCTCTCCAGGTCGCCCCGTCCTGTAGTTGTTGAGCCTCTGGATCAGTTTGATTGTGATGATGGACTTCCTGAGAAATTTGTCCAGAAAAACCCAAAATTTCAAGTGTAAGTTTGCTAATTCGGTTGCTTGTGTTATGCTAACCTGCCTCCATGATTCAGTCTAGTCTAACATGCTGGATGTTTGTGTTTCAGAGCGCGTGAGCAGCCTCCTCGCTTTCCCCGCCCCGGCTCCTTTGAGTTTGAATATTCCAAACGTTGGAAGTCTCTGGATGAAATGGAGAAGCAGCAAAGGGAGCAGGTGGAGAAGAACATGCGTGAAGCGCGCGAGAAACTGGAGAGCGAGATGGAAGATGCTTACCATGAGCATCAGGCCAACATGCTGCGGCAGGGTGAGTCCCAAAGCTGCTAAAGCAAAAACAAAAGGCTGCAGTTTTACAGTGAATAGAAAATTAAACAATATCTGCCAGTTTACTGTTCTCTGCTTATGTGATCATCAGAATAATCATTGTTTTTGTTTTCCTGCAGAACTGCTGAGGCGGCAGGAAGAGCTGCGGCGCATGGAGGAACTGCACAACCAAGAAATGCAAAAGAGAAAGGAAATGCAGCTCAGGTATGAGAATGATCAGTTTTGATTTTTTAGAATGATTTTGTAACCATATGGAAATATAGTGTGTCTTTAGGGTAATACTGAATTAAAACAAACATCACACTGAGGAACTTATGATGATTTTTATTTATGTTTTATTAAATAAACAGACAGGAAGAAGAACGGCGCAGACGGGAAGAAGAGCTTCTCAGAAAGAGGGAAATGGAGGAACAGATGCGCCGTCAGCGTGAAGAAAACTACCGAATGGGAAACTTCATGGATGTAAGAGCAATTTTATGTTCAATTCAACAACATATGATTTAAGTTTTGTTTTTGTTTTTTTTAAACCTGTTTGATTGCTATTTCTGTTTCACAGAGAGACGTTGACATACGGATGCACACCAGTGGCTCCTTAGGCATGGGAGGTAAGTTCCACTGCATTGATAGATGGAGTTACGCCAGAGACAAAAAGCTCAGTTTGATGTGTAATTCAGTTTTAAAGTCAGTTTGAGACATTTTCAGTTTGTTTAGTCAAGAGAGACTGAGTTGTTTTTTAACTCTGGGGTGTTTAACACGTTGTTTTCTCATCAGACATGGCCTTCAGCGGATCCAGCCAGAACTTTGCGATGAGTGGCCTCGGCTTTGAGGGTCAGTCTGGACTGGGATCGTCTCCAGGAGGCATGATGACCAGTGAAATGGTAATGTATCCCACTTTGGGAATATAGTTCACATGTGGCTGTTTATTTTTTCTTTTTCTATTTGTGTTAAATTTCTGATGATGATTGTAGACATGGAGGCCAGCTGGGCCAGCAGCAGCGTAGAACTCAAGTAGCTTCCTCTCTTTTTAAGACTTTGTGGTTGGCGAATAGTTGGAATATGAAGATTTTAAAACATTGTTCTCCATGGCAGCTTTGTCCCCTGATTAGCCCTGGATTAATCACATTTAGCTACAAAACCTTCATCCTGCACTAAATCACCAGATAAATCTGTCAATGTTCCTTCTGCTCACTTCTAGTGTGTCATCTGTGTCCATAGAGGATCTTTGCAAGCCCTGTCTCTTGTGAGCGTGACAGGCACTTTGTTTTGTGGACAGCAGAAAACCTTTTTTTTTTTTTTTCTGTAACTATCAGCAGCGCTCCAGTTGAAACGTTTGCTCCATTTTTACTTTAAGGCATAACTTTGATGAACCACAGAAATGGGAACTTGTGTTTTTGGGTGGATGTGTGGAATCTATATCTCTACCTCTGTTGTTTGAGCAACTTTGAGACCTTTAGTAGGGCTGTACTCGGTCTGCTCCGCTACCTTCACTTTCTAGTAACTTTTTTTTTTGTAACTGCAAATTTAGAATGCTTTTAGTGCAGGATGATGGTATTAAAAACATAAAGGACTTCATCAGAGGGGTCAGGCAAAAATGGAGACTATTTGTGCTGTAAACATGTTGGTGTGTGTTGGAGTGAAATATATTTTTTCTCTGGAAGAGATTTTCGGCTGACAGCTGTTTACATGCTGCAGAACTCACCATATTCATAGTTTGTCTGATTTCAGTAGATATGTCCCAGTCAAAACCTAATCTGATTCTGACTCTCCATCAGTGTCCCATACAGGCGATCTGGGGCCTGAAGTGACTTTTAATGGTTTATTTTGGCAGCAGCAATCTTGCAAAAGTCCAGAAAGCTTTTATAATGCTCTCTGTAGGACTGGGAATTTGTCATTACTTATTATCATAAAAAATATTTCTGATCAGAATAATTCAGATTTATCGTGATAATTTATTGATGTTTTAATACCCCCCCATTTGCTCCTATGAGCTAAAATAAAGGCCAAAATGTGATGAAATGTAGTTGCTTTGGGCAGATTGGTGATGGTAATCCCACTTCATTTAAATGGTGTCCTTCAGAAGCCTGATTAAAAACGGCTGTCTTTGACAGCTGGTTTGTAGCTCTGTCTGCCAAAAACTTTCTTAAAAATAATCCTCCAAGCTGCCCTGACTGAGCGTCTGGACCGTTCATAGAGTCTCTGACTGGACCTGTCCAGCTACAGGCTTTGTTACACTGGTGTCTTTATCCTGGTAATGGTGTTTGAAATTCTGGGCTAATGCTAGCATGTGTGGCTATATCTGGGCACTGTACAATTAGCTGAAGCAGCAAATATTCTCCTTTTTTCTGTGATCTTCAGGTTAATGAGTAAAAAACTGTGATTGTTGGGTTAAACTCAGACTCATAAGTTCATAAAACACAGAATCTCAGATGATCATAAACTCTGATCATTTCCCGATCCGATACTCTGGATCAAATCGGGTCATTCTGTGACTATCATCCATCTACAGAACTGTTTCTCTGAACTTTGAACCACCGTCAGGTTCTGTTATTCTTGTGATTAATGAAAAACTGTTTCCTCTTTGTGTTAACTGAGTTAATGTTTTGTTTTTGACTTTTTTTTTTGTTAATGTACATTAAGGTAAGTTGGAGACGCACTGCTGCAGTGCCTGTTAAATGTTTAGCCCCTTCAGAGACGATCAGAGGCTAAATGATCACTGCTGAACTACGTTACAGCAGCAAAGGCTCTTCTTTAAAATACAAGGGATGATCCGTCAAAGTTTCTCATGCTGTTTATGAGAGTAGCAGTTTAAAGACTTCAGAACTCTTAAGATTTAATGCTCTCGTAATCTTAATTAAAAATGTGGCATTTACTTAATTTCACTGTTGTTGCTTTAAGTAAATGTTTAACGGTTAGAATAAATAAGTTCTTTAACAAGAATTCACTATGAATATCAGCTGGTTACTGTCTAAAGTCGAGTTATCCTTAGTTTAGATCTTTTGAGATCAGACTGTCACTCATGAAATAGTACAATATTAATTTATAACTTTAGGTGTTATTTTAGTATCATTGCAACTCACACCAGTTCATCCCTCGTTTTCTAGTTATGACACTTTTTCTGACTTGGGTCTGGTTCTGAGAACCTAAGGCTACGTTCACACAGCACGTCTTGATGCTCAGTTACAATTAGTTTTTCTATGATTCAACATAATTTTTTTTCATGGTCGTTTCAATGCGACCGCAATGAGACTTCTGTGTGAATGGTTTACGATCCCAAAGCGACCCGCATGTACAGGAGAACGTAGACGTCACACAACAGCACTCTGCTTACAGCAGTAATGACGGACGCTGCTGTCTATGGATCAGCTTGTTGAGTTGTTGAGCAGTGAGAGCCAACAGTGTCGTCATAAACTTATAACAAGACCAAGGAAGCTAAAGGTTAGGCAATGAAAAATTAGAATATGTCCTGCCTGCTATGTGAACGTAGCCCAAGCTGACCTTTAAATAATTTAGTATGGGAAAGTTTTTACTCTTATTTTTGCAAGAATTAATTAATATTCTTACCTAATATCTATGCAACAATTCATCAGAGTTTCCAAGTCTATTGCTGTCATCCCTTGTGAAGCTCTTGATTTATGGTTTTAAACTGAGGGAGGATAAATTCATACTGATTGAAACAATGGTTCAGTTATCTTTAATTCTATTTATTCATTCATATAATATTTCTGTGGAATCCATGAAGGTTTGATCTTTTGTCTACAATATTTTAGTTGGACGTCAACAAACTTCCTATCGGCCATATTGGAGGACATCCAACAGCTTAAAGGGGCAGTACTGTGTAAAATTGACTTTTAGATTTTTGTCATGATATAATGATATTCCCTCATTAAGACATGCCTGGAGTGTTCCCTCGATTCCTTCATGCATGTTTAATCTCCATGGCAACCATTCAGCTGTGCAAAACTCCTGGTTGGACCTAGCTCCTCCTTCAAGGCTTAACTCCTCCCCCTACTCAACTCCTTCAGACTAGCCAGTAGCAATTATCAAACACCTGGTGGAACTGCTGAGATCATAACAGGACCTATTTCTCAGAGCAACGCTGGTAAAAATGTTAAGTCATATTTGATATAAGGTTGAAGGATAGCACATTATTTACACAGATGTGTTTAGGTATTTATTTTTATTTAATAAGTTTCTAGATTTACTTCTAAAAGACTATTTTAAATGATCAGCAACACACTTTCTCAAGTTCAGAAATTATACAAATTTTATTTACAGCTGATTACAGTTTAAATATATATACATTTTTATTCTATTGTACCCAACACACTGAACTTTAAAACCGAGGTGGATACTTGCATGAGAGACCAATCTTATCTACCACCACAAAGGTCTGAAAATCAGCCGCTGTTAGAGGTTTGACTGACAGACGCGCCCAACAGGTCACGTCTGTGCGGTGCGGTTAGCAAACGTCACACCTGTTTCCAACCGTTTCCTTTTTTTCCACAAACATTTGCGGCATTGAAGTCCAAACTGGAAATGTGTTTGGTAAACTTAGCTGTCCTTTCTGCTCCTAGTCCTATGATTGAGATTCTTTTTTTTTTCTGTTAAAGAAAAAAATCTCATCATCCTGAATGTCATTTTGATGATCGCTTTCTCTGGTTTTTAAGCTAATTGTTTGTCCTCCAACATGGTGCTGGGTATTTTTCTCAGTGGCGTCTATAGAAACTGTGTTGCGATATGACTGATTAGCAGCTGGTGAATATGGTCTGTACTGGACCTTAAGAGCATTATGTGCTGTAGGCTAGCATGCACTGGAGAGCAGAAGACAACAGGAAGGCCCAGACTAATGAAAACGTTACCCTCTCTTCCTTCTCTGTATGTAACCTGTGGCACCTGTGGACCTTCTATTGGAACGAACGTTTCTCCGGATGCGTCTCCTGCTGATTGTTTCATAAACCTTCACACAATACATACAACCCACCTGTTTTCCACACATTCTTTCACGTCTCCACATGGACATGAACTGTGTGCCGCTTTCGCACCGACTCCTTCCCTTACATTAATCCTCATCTCCCTGCAAATTCCCACAAAAGCAGCGCAGCGAGCGCTATGTGCAGGGCGGCGCTAGAGGAATGGGCGCCGGTGCCGCAGCGTACGGCCGCGTCCGTGAGGAGTTTGATGGCCCCATTAAGAAACCCCGTTTTTAAACGCTGCGTTTTGTTCCAGCAGCAATATTTGTAAAGCTACTCCAAGACGAACATGTTGAGTCAGAATTATTGTATTTAAGTTGAAACTGTTGCATCATTTTATCCATTTAATTGATTAGTTTTATAATTAAGTCGATACTTTTTTTTTTTTTTTTTTTTACTTTGTATTGCCATTAGTGTAGAAACGCAATATATTGCATTTCAGAACGCAATATATTTCGAAAGAGGCCGGGATTTGAATATAAGACTTTCTTGCTTCGAGGCAACAGTGATGGTGCTGGAGATT